ACAGACACTTGTAAAGTGTATATTTTAAACAGGTAATCAACTAGCTCAATGTTAGTCATTCAGATTGGCCAGACCGTCAATTGAAAGTGAAAATAACGTTTTAATAGGATTTGGAAGGTGACATAAACCCAGAACATTCCCCGGGTATTTACTCGTCAATTTTCCATGTAATTTATTCACGTCATAGCTGATTCTAATCTATGAAATGAAAAGTAGAGCCCTTGACTAATATAATCTGACATTAGGGGTCAGTTTCAACATCAAGACGGACATCAATTTATCTCGTGGGGCCCATCGTGTGATAGTTTTGGCTACTGATTAATGACATTTTTTTTCAATCTGAAATTCTACGAATACTTTACTTCTCCGTTTCCAAAGGCAATTGAAAGAGCGAGCTAATTTACGCCAGTACCTACCAATATTCGTTGACAGCTTTACAACATCAAACCCTTAATCACTGCCCTTAGGTCCACAAGAATGAAAAAGCGTTTTTGATTGGTTTTTCCCAAATAACCAGCTTGTGTATTATAATCCCACATTTTTCACACCAGTGGAAGTTGATTGGCACAAAAAATAACTTTTCAATTCAATTAAGTGTGTCGTATTTTCACAATTATCGCCATGCTCAATCCAATAGAGCAGGAACGTGTGTATATTGATTGAAAAGTTTGCATTACATATTTTCTAATACCTGACCGTATATTCTGGAGAATTGATAGCTGTGGGCCTGCAACATTCAATATACGACACAATATCTAAAAAGGGAACAGCAAGTCGGATATAAACAAATTAAAATGAATTAATTTTGAACGATAAAAAGTAAAAAACCTATAGTAGAAATAAATCATATATAGAAGTCTACATAAAAGCATGGGGCAAAAGCATATACATATCAAGCTTTAATCCGAAGCATATCAAAAACTGCCCACAGTTATTAATTGAAAACCTAAATCTCCTTTGATATTGAGCATGTTGAAGAATCAAACCAGAGCGAAACCTATTACTAAAAAACACCGAGTGGAAATAATGACCGAAATGGAAATCATCGATTTCAATGAATTCAGAGTTTGTTTTGTTGATCCTTTTTCCTCTGAAATATTTATCCTTGATACCCTCGGATTTATTATGTTTTATGTATCCCCGCGTTATTATTGAATGAATTTAGGGACAGTGTATTTAACTTGAACTGCTCAGGGCTCTTTAAAATTAATATCTATAAAAGGCCGCTGTTACAAAATTGTTGATAGTTTTCGGCAATAAATCCCGGTAAACTGGATAAGCAAAAACAACAAAGGAGCTCTATACAGAGTTGATATTATTGTGCCAACTGACTGAAATAAATGAGTAACATTTCAATTTTAATTTGCTATTCGAAACCAAAATGACTTAATCGCTACCTGGTTTATAGTGCCAATTAAAAAACGGCAACGATCGAGAACTAAAAGCATATTTTAATGGCGAAACCTCGTTTTCCGCAATAATTTTCCGATGTCCTTCCATTCCTTTTAAGTTCGAAAGGATAATCAGGCGCTTAAGATTTACGGCTTAAACTGAAATCGAAAAGGAAATAAAACCATCATCCACGTAACACATTTAATGCAAAAATAATTCATTTTAATGTTGTATAAAAACTGCAGTGAATTTCCCAGACTATTGTGTCTGAAACCTATGCAATTATTATATAAAATCAGAGATCATATCTCACAACTCAACCCCTATTTACATTCGACGACATGGGTTGACAAGAAATATTCCTTTGATTTTTCCTTTGACCCTTGTCTTACTTTATTTTTTATTTATCGAACAGCTCAATGGAAAATGCGATTCAAGAATCTTGGCGTGTTTAAAGTTTGTTTTGTATGGTTTTGCGAAACTCAAACACACGGATAAGACCAAAGGCACTTTGCCGAATAGAGATATACGGCTTGCCTTTAAATTTATACCTTTCTTTTATGCATTTAGGATAAGTTACTTTAACATCAAAAATAGGGATACGAGAGTAAGTCATGTTATTTCTAGGCGCATCCGTTCGCAGATAATGTATCAGAAAGGTGATGAGATTAGGACAGTTCATGGTCTGGTCTATTAAATATGTAGAGAACAGGAAAGTGATTTGGGGTCAAAACGTGGGGTCATGCCAATTAGGGTATGCTAATCCATTGCCACCACAACTCGCGATGTAAAGGGAAGAAACGTTTATTTGGAATTGAATAATTCATAAGCATCACAGAGGTGATAAAAGTGTTTGATGAACTTTATATGATCTGCCATTGGCAGAATAACTGGCCAATCGCCGTTTATGTTACATCCCGAAAGCAATTCAAATTCATTTTCTTTTATTCCTTTTTGATGATCTTTTATAATATCTAGACTTACATACTGCGTCCCAACATAAGTGGCTACATTTATATTTATTGTCTGGCTTTAGTTGTGAAGTCGAACTAATCCGCTCGGAACAACCAATAAAAAAAGCTATTAAACGAGAAAATAACTAATATTGGAAGTGAGCAGACTCACAATTATTTGCCAAAAAAAGGAAACATAATCGCATAACTGCGGCAAATTACTTCAGTCGCTTCAATTTACTTCACTTTCTAGCTATAACCGTTAACTAAATCCCAGTGGACCTTTACGAAAGAAGGAATTGGACTTGCACATTTAGCTTTATAATAAAAGTCACGCATTTACTGAGGTGGAGGCGAATATATAATAAAATATTTTTATTTTTTATTATTTATTTTCATCACGCTGCAGTCATTCTGATATTGTTGAATGTAATTAGAATTTTCTGCTATTGTTGCTTACCAGCATTTCGAAATTTCTATCTTTAAGCTACTGAAAAAAATATTTGAATTCATAATCTACTTTCTAAAATGTTTTATCTATATAGTTAGTTGTTTCGTGTTTAAATAATCCAGTTATTAATCCATTTTAAAAGAAGTCAATTTAAAGAAAGTAAATAAAAGACAGCTCAATATTTTATGTGAAAGGTTCTCAGCTCGTAATTAACTACTGACAAACATACGCTCTGATACAGATATGCTGAAAGCCTGAGGCACAAAGCTAATTCCTTTTGATTAAGTTTTCTTTTACAGCCAGGATTGCAAATGAGGTTTCTGCATTGAGAGCCTGTAATATGTTTTTTGTCTCTAGTATCCAAGATCTTTTGAGTCTTCTGATAGATTAACTATTACTAAAGGTCAAATGATCTGAGAGAAATAAAATTACAAAAGTAACAATATATCAGATGAAAGAAGCGATTTGGATAAAGATAAAATAAAACGTAACGATGTATATTACATTTCCAAGATCTCTGTGTTCAAATTGAATTTGCCAATTCTGCTTTGACACTTTTGAACATGATATTTGGATACTTATGTTGGTAAAAATGTATGGAAAATGTCCTGACACTTCCAATAGCGTATATTCAGTTTTCTTCTGAGGACTTCAGGCAATCTAAATCCTTATAAAAAATCTCAATTTTCATTGAAGAGTTCCCCTTGTAGAACTTCGAGGGTACATAAAGTGTACACAAAAGTATTCGAACTCATTCAAAGATAGCATTTAATGAGACAAAGCAAACTTTAGTTGTGTTTCAAACATAAAGACGAGTAGAAATTGGTAACCAGGCGGAACAATGGGAGTATTTCGGCTATAAATTTTATTAATTAAAGAAACTGATATACAATTAATTATATAGCTTAAGCGAATCCAGTTGAGTTCGTTAGAAACTTTGGGAAATTTTCCAATTATGTTGTCGGTGATTTCGAATTAGTTACCACCATGTTTGTTTTAAACTTGCTGTTCTCTTAATCCTCCGAATCCTATAGGTTTTTGCTCTAATTTACATTCGACATCGGCAAATGACCGAGTTATGTACGAATTAATCTCAATAGTCACGGTCACTCAGACATACAAAACATCTTGCTGATAATATCGTATCTAGGGCATTGTTTGGAATTAACTGTATTTCTAGTCAAATCGATGTCGTGGAATATATAGACGGGAATAAACTTTATTGGCTTCATCAGTCATGCACTAGACACGATTTAGCCATAAAAAATACCTTTGCCAGGTGGAATTGTATAAATGTATTCAGCCATTCAGACTGTCTAGTGGCACTAGGTTAACTTCGTTTCCTGGCATAACTTTTCAAAGTCGCTCCAGAATTTTATTCAGTGGTTCAACTCGAAACATTAAATTATCTACCAATCAATTTAAAATATTAGGTGCGAACTCTGCAGGTAATTGAAATTACCTGGAGTTAGTGGGGAATTACCACTGAAACCTTTAAGTTAAAATCGATGTTCCATTGAAATATCTTAGGCGGTAATAATAATATTCGCATATCGAAACTGAGACTAGTTTTTTTATTCAAATTGCTGTAAGATGTAGGAATATTTGCCATGTAGGTAAGGCATTTAGTAGTTAACGCAAAAGATGTTTTTAAAGCAACATCTTATGATGCATGACGTTTTGATAAGTTAGGATAAAATGTTAATGAAAAAAGGACTCGGGTGGAATGGCCAAGAAGAACTGTTGCTAAGTAGCCAAATAATGGAAAAATGCCAATATTTTCATATAATGGTAGTTGTTGATTACTGCACCACTTTTGTGCTGAGTTGTAATGTGAAAATGCGCTCGGTCCAGATGGGTGGTGAAATGCAAATGATGAAATGGAGAATAACATTTCCAGTAGGAATCGGTACTGATTGGAAAATGTTAAATGATTGCTGTCTTTGAGGGAACATGGGCGAACATGACTATTGATATAAAAAATTGACATTTGGACACATTTTATTTAGGATGAGTAATTTTTAATTTCCTTCATGACAAATTCGTAGAAAGTTTAATGAAGGTGCTGAAACTAAAAAAAAATCAGGTTTGCGGCATCAGTCCTCGGCAAAAATAATACAGATGCCTAATGCAGAAATTTCAAGAGCGCGCTTGCAGTATCAGTCAAAAGCCGCTAATTACGAGAAAAAACACTTAACACTTACCGAAGGGAGGATGCCGGTGTTCATAACAAAACTAATTAGAACTCCTTTGAAAGTCAGAACTTCACTTCAAATCACTTTTTTTGGGACTTTCAGTGAACTTTTCAATCAACTGGAAGCAGTGGAAAAATGAATTCGAAAATTTGAAATCGGCGACCGTCGGTAGCGCGCACGCAAATTGAAAGTTCGCAGAAATCGCGCTCTAAAACTGAGAGCGCTCCTGGAATGTGGAGCGATGCTGTGTTAGCAGTGCCACTGGCGTTCAATGGATGTTTGGAGAAGTGGAATTAAATTTTTTTGGAAAGGCTGGACAGATATGGTTGGCGCAAGCGCTTCGCACAAGACCTACGCCTAACGCGCTCCAGGAAACGCTAAGCAGCCGTTCCGGACTCCGAATTGTTGTGGTGGACCAGGACAGCGGATCCGGATCCTCGACCCAGTCGGCTTTCAGATAAATTCCATGATTAGTGTAAATCCTAAATCATTATTCAGTTTCCTTCAAGCAATCCGTCTACGTACAAGAATACATATTTTCTCCGCATTTATTTGTCTCTGCCTTCCAAGACTTTCTCTCCACTCTAAATCATTCAAGTCGGTCATGACTAATATGCAGAGAAATGAAGGAGTTCGTTTACTGCATATCTTTCACAGCAAGAAAAATGTCACCATTATTGCCTAAGGCACGTGCATTTACATTCCTACTGAAGAAAATATGATTTGAATCTACCGAAAACAATCAAGACTATCCAGCCTTTGCATTTATCCAGAAGGGGAAATAGGGGAAATCCGGTACAGTTCCAGCGTGGTATAAATATACAAGCCTCTTAAATCTTCTCTTTCTTACCGCATAAATATGGCACAATTACAAGTAAACAAAACAGCGGCTAATCCATCCAGAAGAACTTGGAGGTACGATACGTACAGCGATGTAACTTTTTTATGACCTCAAATCAGGATCCTGGATTCGCCACTGGCTGATTTAATTCAAAACTTCTCGTAAACTCAACCGGTCAAATTCCGCCCAATAGGTTCAGCGAGAACATGAGTCGAGCTCAAAAATGGGACTTTTTGCTCAAAATCTTCCAGATGAAGCACATCTAGTCTGACTAAATTGCTACAAAAACAAGCAAAACTAGAAAATTACAAGGTGGTGTCACCAAGACGGGGTGGAAGATTATGACTAACTGCAGTGCAATTTGAGGCGATTTTTTAATCCGATCAACGGTGGCCATCCATGGAAATTATTTCACCCACTCACTTCACACCTCATTTAACTCTTTTTCCGCTTCAGGCGAATTATCCAGAAGAGTAAGATAGTAGAACTGTGTCCTTGGCATATTAAGTGCTTCCTTGGGTGCACGTTCGCTCTACTAATTTTCGGCCCTTGTGTGGATTGTCCACAAATATCTACATTTCAGAGAAAGCAGGAGCGTAGCAGCCGTTTGAATGGCTGTTCAGAGAGTTTCCTCTTACGGTAGGTGAAAGTTGTGCAAATGCAATAAAACACCCATTTTTTGCCGCCTCATAAGGCGGAGGTCGATCGACAGCCCAAAAAAGTTTAGATTGTTTACATCAGGTGATCGTGGAGGCCCGACCAAGCTCTCCTTTTCCCATCGATTGGTTTTAAATCGTTTTATGTGGTGTTTGGGTGAAATCGCTTTATTTGTGAATTAAGTAAGTTTTAATTATTGAAATAAAAAAACTAAAATGATTCCGTAATGTGGGGGGGGGAGACGAGTAAAAACTGTAAAATCTTACAGAGCCTTACATAGAGAAAAAATCGTCCGAATTTACCTTACATAATTTTGGCCCGCCCCTAAACAGGCGAGTTATGCCCATAAATAAAGAAGCTCGTATTGTATGAAACGATCAATTGAAGGCGAAGATTGAAGTGGCTAGGCCACCTCGATCACCTGACCTAATCACTCGGCAGTTTAAGCTTGAACCAGGCAGGATTTTTTAAAACATATTCCAGTTTTAATCCATTTTGAGTCAAAACCCCGGGAAAACTTTCAACATCTTTAGCCTCAAATGTCTCGATAAATCAAATGAAATCGGTGCACGAATTATTGCTGGTTCCTGTTTGTGCTGCCGCGCCGGTTAAAAGCCGAAGTTTATTTAGAATTTCTCCACATGATCCATGTCCATAAAAGGGCGCCGCCTAATTTCAGCCCAATATTACATAAAACGATTGAATACCGATCAATTGCAAGAAGTGGAGCAATTCTAGGACACCTCGATCACCTGACCTAAACAGTCGGAACTTTTAACTAGTGAGCAGAAGCAAAGGGAGTCCCGTTTAACCCAATCAAATCCGTTCCTGAGTGTTTCCTAGTTAGAATTTATAGTGCCCCGACTGTTTAAAAGCTGAATTTAGGTGATGAATCTCCCGACACAGTATAATACTTTCTATTTATAATAATAAATTAACAACATTTTACAATTCTGTAAATTTATAAACTAAATATTTCAAAAACACATCCAGAATTCTCCCCTTCTAATAAGTGAAAATCATCCTCACTGAGCCACTCCATTGGAATCAACTAATGATTCATCTGATTTTCCGTGAATGTGTGAAAAAGCAAGGAATGAAAATCATGAAATGGTCAAACTGCATATCGAGCGGAGCGATGTGGATTTGCTTCAAACTCCAGGAGTTCGTCTAGTGTAGTTTCATTGCCAATTGCATTGGAAGTTTCTTTTATCAGGCGAACATGTTATTTTCGCAGAATCGCTTTACCAGTCTAATTGTTCCTTTGGTGTAACTTTTCATTAAATAGACGAGTAACTTCGGCTTCTGATCGCGTAACCAACCATCTGGATAATTGTGATTTTATCCATTGCCTTGCCCGCTCGCGGGCAAGGCAATTAACTTCTTTAATGTTAAGCAAATGATTTGATAAATTTCAATGAAACTAATGATATTAATTGACTAGGGCCTAATATGAAGCTCCTGGAAACAGCTGTTAATGTCTACTTAAAATAAATATTTCCATTTTCGCCGTAGACAAATATCTGACCCGGCAATTATTATCCCTGATTAATTCTGTTAGTTAAGTGCGTAAACCAACATGCCCTACTGGACGAAACATCCATTTAACCATTATCTAACGAATCCTTATGACTACGTTCAACAAAATGACCAAACTCCATTAGGTCTTTGAAATCTAGGCAATTTTAATTAACTAAAAGGGAAGCCAATTAATAGGATAATTGTCTAAACAAATGGACAACCTTCAAGTAAGGGAGAAGTTTCCATGCCTTTCTCTTCTCTTCAGCCGAAAGTTGAAAACTAATTTGCAAACTTTGAAATTTACGAGCGAATAATACAAGTTCAATGATAAACCGCTAATGCCCTCCAAATAATCCTTCATACATGTCACACATGTGCACTGGGGGCACGTCTTAACACGTTATAAATCCGTTCAAATTACCTTAAATTTGAATTTTTATTCAGGCTGGAGGTTTCTAAGGCACCTTCAAAATCTGCTTGATTTACTCCTTATTTTCGAGCTAATAATCTTTCAATGTCCAGATAACATGTGAAAGTCATGCAAAGGGTAAATCCAGGTTTTATCCAGCTTTAAAAGTCATAATTCCAACTGAAATTAAACGATCAGCTTTTGCTGATTTTATAACGCTAGAAATTAAATTATGTATTTTTGTTAAGGAATTTAACTTGATAGTGAGGCTTAATAAATAATTTGAACCTCTTGTTCTGGTCCGATTGCATATTGCTGCAATTTGGCAAAAGTATGCGGAGACGAAATAAATCGATACAAGTACACAGGAAAAAGGGAATATAGATAAACTAGTAAAATTAATAGGATGAATTGTGCACAATTGCAAAAAAAATTAAAAATAAATTGCAACCTATTGGGCAGCGTGGATCAATGAGTGATAATTTCCTTAACGGAATGGAACTTAACTGTGTCCGGTGTTTAGGTCAAATAGAGAACCGCTTGCGGTAAATTTCAATTAAATGGGCATTATTCAAACGCTCGAAAGAAATTCTGCTCGAAATGGTCATTGGAAGAAGGCGAGAGATCGTTGCATTTCAGCGCCAACTCCTGAAAATGATGCACAAGGGTTTTCCAATTGCACGCCGATTTTATTTACTTCCTTTATATAATTATCTAAATCACCCTTTAATTGAAAATTTGTTAATCCTTTTCTTTCTGAACCGAGTACTCAATTATTCTCTAGTCTAGTTCTGGTTTCTATTTAGAGCAGTTAAATGGTTTTCGCTATCGATTTTGTATCTGAAGCTTTGTTTGAAGTTATAAACGGAAAGCATTTCAGATAGGTTGCATTTCGATCCAAGGGCGGATACAGAAAGGGGGTCATGGGGGTCATGTGCTTTATGTCGACTGACGATAATTTTTCTAATTTCATAGATAACAAAAGACTGAATTTTCACTAAATGCTGACTTGAAAGCTGGATCCGCCGCTGCACAATGTATGAAATTCGAATTTCGCTTTCTGGGTCAAAACTACTCGAATTTCCTCGCTCATGTTGTAATGACTGAATCGGATTTTCAATTCTCGATCCAATGATGCGAAAACGATTTCTGCAGCTCAAATGGTGCTTGAGAAACTTCGAAAAAAGCAGCGTCATGTTCGAGTCGATTTTGCAACTCAATAAAAAAACAGGCAAATCTAAAATTTCGTGAAATCCAGACTTTTTTGAGAAAACTCGAAACCATTCTTATCGAGGATTCACTTGCTAAAAAGGCGTTGAAGTTCTCTCTAAAGCGATGTAAAAATGAGCGTTCTGGCTCAATTTGCTTCCGAGAAATGAGCAAAAGCGGGACGGAAAACATGAGATGTTGGCATGATATTCCACCTAAGTGTGTTGTTATGACTTGTTCTCTATCCAACGATTCCAATGACCAACCAGTGAATTTCCACTACATGACCCCCCCTTGAAAGCTGAATCCGCCCCTGTACCTATCAGGGTGAAAGGTGTAATTTACTTCTAAATTCCTTCCAATTGCAGTGGTTAAGACGTAGTTCATTCTGAGAAGGTAAAGCAACTTGTTTACTTGAATATTTCATTACACTCTTCACAGGAAGCAAAATTCATTGCACCTCAATATATACCTGGGATTATTCAGCTGGAAATTTTGTTAAAAAAGCAACCGATCTACTTCAAAACAAAATCTAATGCAAAAGCAGTAGAGACGTACCTCGAAAAGACAGTAAATTAAAACTTCAATCACTTATATTCTTTATAAAAGACGGTAGATATTTGAAAGGATGGTC